CCAAAAACAGTGTGGGATCCAGGATAATGGCTTCTCTGCATATGTCGGCCGTAAGACCGTCACCACCCGGTGCCTTTTTATGGTTAAAACTGGACACAGACCACATTAACTCTTCCATTAAAAGGTGGATCGCATGAGATATCATGCGACCGTGCATTCATCATCTTCCTGTGTATCATCTTCCGGATAGAACGTCTTCGCCAAGGTCTTTGCAGATTCCATATTTCCTAAAGTTTTTCCATTCAGGACAAGGGGAATATCCTCTTGTCTCTGCGATGTGTGGCCTATCACCCTGTAGATGCTGTCCCACATTGACTCGCGTTCTTGTTTGCTGCAGAAGTCTTTCAAGCTGGAAGTTTGAGCCCTTTTTACCTCCTGTTGGTATTTTTCCTTTACATCAAGATATTGCTGAACTACCCACTCTCAACAAACTGGTACTGCACATGATATGCGACGTTTTAGTCTGGACGTTTTAGTCTGGAGACTTCCTTTTTACGCTGTGTTAGCTCTTCGGTCCACCAAGGCAATCCCGTTCGTTTTTTGTTTTTTAATTTGGGTATGTATTTTTCACATGTTTCTATTATTGTTTCCGTGACTTCTTCTATTTTTATTTCCAATTCTTTTATTGTTTCTATTTTATCTATTTCTATTTTGTTTATTAACTTACTGCTCCAAATCTGGAGGAGTTTCCCACGAAGCTTCCTTTTTTGTATTATATTTTCTGGTTGTTCTATTTACATCTGTGCCTACTGATTTTTCTAATTTTATGTCAAACAGGATTGCCCTGTGATCCGAACTCGTGATTTCTTCAGATAGTCTCCAGGGTAGATACCCTCCCAAGTAGGCTCGTCGAACAGGTAGTTATATCCACACAACTAGAGAACCTTTTTCCACCTCTGATGGTGTCAAAGGTGGGTTCAGTTTCCCGGTTGAGTATATGGAGCTCCAGTTCGTCCAGTTTGGCAGCAACATCTATCCCTCTACTGTCCACCTCCCGGCTTCCCCACCAGGTGTTCCGTGCGTTCTCCACCAAGTATCACGTTTACAGTCCCCAGAGATTCCACGGCTTTCCCAATCATGTTCATGTATGGTTCGATTGGTTTGTCGCCTTCCAGATAGACTGACACCACTCCCATCTCCCAGGTCCCTGTCCTCAATTTAGCAACTGCGATGTTTTCCGTTGTTAGACTAGGACACTGGGTTACGTTAATGGTGTCATCGAACAATACAATGGCTGCCTTAATGACCTTTTCGGTGTTAGGTTCTCGGTGACATTGTATTATTCGTGTCCCTGGATAGTGCTTCATCTCCCCAATGCGTCCAATGTAGGGCTCCGGGACCAGTGCCAAAGATATTTTTTCCAGGTCGCTTCGGTAATCAATTCAGCCGTAGCTAGCTCGCATCTCTGGAGATCTGCCTGTATCGCGTGATATCGGTGGTTGCCCGCGTCGAAGTTTCTGCCAGACCCTAGGACCACCTTAGCAATAAGTCACGGTGGATCTTGCTAAGGTCTCCCATCTCCTTCTTATCGGGCAGTCTGAACTGAACGCGTTATGGTCTTTTTTATCCATTTTGGCTTTTATGCAGTTTCTGCATGACGGTACTTCTCCGGAAAGCCAGTCGGTGCACTCCGTCCTGAGGTGTGGGCCTCCACAGTGGCTGCAGAATTCTGTCGTCTCACTACATAGGCGTTTGGTGTGCCCGTATCCTAAGCACCGTGAACATTGGATGAGTGGGGATTGACCTTCTACCCTCACCCGTTGAAGATCAACATATCACTCCAACTTCTGTGAAACGAGTCCATAGCTGCGGTGAGACTCTCATCACTATGTGGGACGTGTGCGGATTCCTGGTCTGGTTTTTCTTGTATTTCATCTCCATTCGGCTTTCATTTTCTTCCAGGTCTTTAAAGTTGTTTGTTTTGGACTTTGATTGCCTTTATTATTTCTTCCTCTGAGTTATATTGTAACACATCTTTAAGAATTACAAGCGGGTCCTTATTTTTTATTTCGTCTACATTTAAGTGTTGACTTGCCTTTTTTAAGTTTTCCTTAACTTTATTTATCTCTCCCTGTGTACAGCATCCTACTATTACTTTTCTGTCCTTTGCTTTCCTAATTCTATCTATTTTGAGTCCGTCCTCTTTGGCGTTTATTACCTTTCTTAACTTCTCTATCACCTGATCTCCTGTCTCCATTTCGTCGGTCGACGTAATTGCCAACGAATGCATAGTCATGTTTTCTGGAATTGATCTTTTCGGTTTCCCAGCTAGTATATTTGCGTATGTTGCTTTTTATTCCTTATTTTTTGCTTTTTCATTACTTCTCTTAATTTTCCGATCTCTTTACTATTTTCTGCCAAAAGTTTTCCATGTTCTTCTAACTTATTTACTAGTTTATTGTATTCTTCTAATTTATTTATTTCATATTCATCCTCCCTTTTCTCCTCTATTTTCTCCTGTTCCTTTAATTTACTCTCTTTTCCTATGTTCTTCCCTGTCTCTGCCTCTTTAACTAGCCGGTAAAGCCTTTCTATAGCCTGGGTGACCTCGGTTTTAATGTCTGTTCTTAGGTTGCGCGAATTGCTAAGGTGCAGTTTAGCTTTGTGGAGGCAGGCACGAGCCTCAGTCACACGGTTCATAAATTTTGCGTTCTCCGTTTTCGGTAGACCTTCTGATGCCTCTTCTGATGTTCTGCGGGTTGTTCCTTTTGCTTCCTGAGACAGCGTGATTTTTTGTTTTTGACGAGCATCCGGGGCCACCTTTCTTGGAGAGCTTTGTGGTCTGGCTTCCGTGTCTACTTTTCCTGTCTCCCATTTCCCTATACTTCTCCTTACACAAGAGACCAGCGTCTTCTGATTAGTCTTTGGAGAAGGTCCTGCCTTCTCTGTCCCACTGGGAGAGCCGTGAGAGCTCATGTCTTTAGCGCTGTCCTCGGTCTTTTAGCGGGGGTACGGATGCCGAACATGTTAAGGGGGAACGCGTCTTTTGTTCAAAGTAATTGGTCACACAAATAAAATCAAAATAAAGTAAGATAAAATAAAATTGTATAAGTTGTATAAAATATTAATATATATATTTGCAGTTCGACACGGCTGTGGTGAGTTCAAAGTTGTTCTCAGTTAAAGGTTATTTGTCCCTAGTACCGCGTCAAAGGAAATAACTTAAAAATAGTAAATATGAAAATAAATTTTTTATGTAGAGTATATACTCTACTTCGTTCTATTGTCTAAGCCTAATAATAAATATACAAGTTTCGTGATCCTCTAGGCTCTACCTAGAGTTAGCTCTATTGTTTAGTTTATTTACTATAAGCTATAAAATAAGAAATTAATAATAAAATGTAAAAATAAATTTCTCTATGTAGAGTCTCTACTCTACCCCGTTTTGTTGTCTAAGCCTAAATCAAGAATATGTCTGATGAATAAATGTAATTTTAATAATATTCCAACTTATTTTAATAATGTTAGACTCGATATACATGTAGAGTCAGTCTATATGTCAAAAAAATTTCTCACTTATTTGAGAGGAAATACACATAGGTCGCACACTTATCTCTATGTGGAGTATTTTTATTTATTACGCGGAACGTCAATGATATACTCTATCTTATCCCGAAAGTCCGACAGAAATCGTTGCAGTCGTTCAGAAGATATAGCGCTTAAAATATTTCACAAAATGGCTAACCAAAATGGCCGCCAAGTCTCTATTATTATTAGATCTTAAGATAGAAGATCTTAGGCTATTGTGTATGTCGAAAACCGCATCGAAATCTGCTCAAAACTTCCGGAGATACGTCAGTTTAAAAATTTTCAATATGGCGACCAAAATTTAAATCATTGATAACTTGCTTAGTTTTCGCCGCAAAGTCGAGCGGTTTGGGTTGCCACAAAAAGCACTCCCTCAAATTTTTATTTTTACCTTAAAGGAGGCTTCACTTCGCGATTTTATATTAAGTGTATTTTCACATTTAAAGGAAAGTCTATAACAAGGTATTAATTTAGTCCAAAACCGCAACTCGCTCCGAATCCCAGAACAAAAGTTATTTTGATTTTAAATATTTCAAAATGGCCGCCGATCAGACCAAAAGACTTTATTTTGGGCGCCTTTTAAGCGATTTGGCCTGTGTTTGGGCTCTATAAAATTATTGAGGATGCGCAGGGAAACTCGTGATTTTATTGTCGTATCGTTTATTCTGCTATCCATGGACGACTCCCCGCAAAGAACACTGTTCTTTTCATACATATAATAAGAGATGCCCTCTAGTGGCAACAAGTTAAACTAGGTACTTACATTACAGTTGTCAGTAAAGCGCCATCTGTTCGAAACGAGTGGGACCACAAGAAAGAGCCACCTGGTTTGTACAGATGTGTAATAAGGAAATATGTTGTTAGTAGTTGGTTTCAGCTTCCAACAGATGGAACCACTAACTACTAACATTCTGCCAGCCAGCATAAATCTTACTCAAGCAAGCTGATACATTATTTATGTTGTGAACAAGCTAAATGGCAGCATGTTAGGCTAAAAAGTAAACTAACTTTAACCCATTGGAGGCCAAGCCCAAAACTATAAATAACAATCGCGGACATGAACCGCGAATCAAAACAGAGTAGAAATAAATAAGGAAGAGAAACAAGATAGGTAAACGTTTGCCAAAGCTACATTATTGATTAAATTTAACAAAATTGTAATGCGACTGCTAATGGGTTAAGTTTAGATAGGACCGAACAGACCAATTAAAAATACAGAAATCTAAAACGCTAGGTAGTTAGGCTAATTAATTTAACCAATTCAACTTAAGTTAAATGCCTATCTGAAGTACAAGGTATCTTTTTATTAACATTATAGTTAATCTATATTAATTGGTAGTGGACATAGATAAACATATGATCTTTTTATTTCGCCTTTGGAAGTTAACACTGTCGCGACTCTAGCCACACTATCACGTCCGTCATGGGTTTGTCTGATTTGTCCCAGCTTCCACTGGCAGGGAGGGAGACGGTCATCCTTCACCACCACCATCGTGCCCACGGAGAGAGCTGGGCCCTTCAAGCTCCGCCACTTGGTACGTTGTTGTAGGATCCCGATGTAGTCGCGAGACCATCTTCGCCAGAAGTCCTGTTGAAGCTGCTGTAGCTGCTGGAACAGCGTGAGCCTGTGGGCGGGAACATCCTTGTACTCATAGTCGGGAACGGTGGTTATAGCCCTACCTATCAAGAAGTGAGCTGGTGTTAATGCGGAAAAGTCATTAATATCTGTATTAGACAAGGGACACAATGGTCGTGAATTTAAAATTCCTTCCACCTGTATAAGTACTGTTACAAATTCTTCATAAGTCAGAAGTGCTGCAGCTAAAACTCTTTTCAGAAAATATTTACAACTTTTTACAGCAGCTTCGTATATCCCGCCCATGTGCGGTGTGTAGACCAGTAAAAAGCTCCATTTGATGCCGTCGTTACTAAGTGAGGTCATAATTTCGTCTGAACTGTCCCTTAAAAATTGGTAGATTTCATTTATCTGGTTGCTAGCGCCCTGGAATGTGGTACCATTGTCACTCACCATTTGCTGTGGTTTACCTCTACGGGAGACGAACCTTCGGAATGCAGCTAAAAACGACTGGGTGTCAAGACCTGTAACCAACTCAATGTGAATTGCCTTGGTAGCAAAACAAACAAACAATGCGACATACGCCTTGTAAGTCCTGGCCCCACGTCCTCTCCAGGTCTTCAAATTAAATGGTCCTGCATAATCTACCCCTGTTGTTGAAGACGGAAGGGAGGGGGTAACGCGAGATGCGGGCAGTTCACCCATAATTGGGGCGCTAGGCCTGGGCTTGGCCCTAAAGCACGTGACGCATTCGCGTGTCACCTTATTTACTAAACTCTTACCATGGATAGGCCAGTAGCGTTCGCGAATCGATGCCAGAAGTAACTGCGGCCCAGCATGCATGAGCTTTATGTGGTATGACTGAACTATAAGCTTGGTAAGTATGTGTCGGTTATGTAACAATATAGGGTGTTTCTTATCGTGAGAATATGGAGAGTTTTCAATGCGTCCACCCACTCGTAGTAGACCATTTTCCATATAAGGTTTTAGGCATAATATATTTGACGTCTGTGGCAGTGGTTTGTCTTTCTTTAATGTGAGATATTCATTTGGAAAGGATTCGCTCTGAGCTAACATGATAAGTTTATCGTGAGATTGTTTCAACTCCTCAACCGAGAGGACACCTAAACATTTGTCCTTGTTTTTTACATTATTTAAGAATCTAAGTACATAGGCAAAAACTCGTAACAACCTTTCATATGTTGAGTATTTTTTAAACCATTTTTCCATGAATGAAAGTGATTGGGGTTCCGTAGTAACACAAGAAATAATATCTACCTTATGTTGGTAATAACATTCATTCTGAGGCGGCCAGTTATCAATATTAGGTTGTGACAACCACGTAGGGCCTTGCCACCACATGGTTGCCTGTGCCAACTTAGCCGCTGGAACACCCCTAGATAAAAGATCAGCTGGGTTATCAGCGGACGGAACCCAATGCCAGTCGTCCGATTTGGTGTAATTTATAATTTCGATTACTCGATTTTTTACAAATGGTATCAATTTGGAAGGCGTATTTGTCTTTATCCATGCCAATACAATATTTGAATCGGACCATAAAAACATTTTGGACGATTGAAGATCCAAAACATGACGAACCTTGTGCATTAAGTTGGCTAATAAATGAGCTGCTCTCAACTCTAATCTAGGTATAGTTTCATCACGAGCGATTCTCGTTTGCGCGCATAATAAACGCACTAATACGTTACCGTTGGCATCTATAGACCGTAGGTACATAGCTGCCCCGTACGCGGTCATTGAGCTGTCCGCAAAGCCGTGCAGTTCTATCAAAACAGATTCAGGGATGATAACGTGTCTAGGTATCATTAAAGAGTTTACTATAAACAGGCTATTATAGAAATTACGCCATTCTTCCTCTTGAGAAAGAGGTAGTTCCTCATCCCAGCCGATGTTATTTTGCCATAATTTTTTTATGAAACATTTCGCGGTTATTAAAATTGGTGCGATTAAACCCAGTGGATCAAATATTGCAGAGGCAACAGATAATACCTTCCTTTTGGTTAACGAATAATTAGTCAGTTTGTCAATGAACGAATACGTTATAAAGTCGCTTTGGTTACACCACTGTAGGCCTAAAACCTTATGTGGGTTTTCTGTGTGTAGTTTTGTACTAGTGTGTTGCGAGTCATATGTTTGTGAACTAGTGTGTGTGTCGTCGGTTTTATTAACAATCTTTATAATGGCCTCCGAATTCGATTTCCACTTTCTAAGTTTGAAGTTCGCGGTCCGTAATATTCTGTCGATTTGAATAGCCGTTTCGGCAACCTTCTGAGCGTCATCTCCACTATGAACTAAATCGTCAATATAGAAATTGGTTAATATTGCAGTCGCCGCTTCCGGGTACTGTTCCCGAAATTCATGCGCGAGTTGTTGTAGACATCGAGTGGCAAGGTACGGTGCGCACTTCAAACCGAAACTGAGTGTAGTTAGTGTGTAGGTGTGCAGCGGGTGATTAGAGTCTTCGCGCCATAAGATACATTGCAGGTTGTGTTGGTTAGGGTTGACAAAAATCATACGATACATTTTTTCGATATCCGCGCAAATAACAAATTTATGCTTTCGAAATCTCATCATAATATTAATTAATTCATCCTGGTTCATTGCACCTTTATATTGTATGTCGTTAAGGGATCTCCCTGAGCTGGTTTTATGGGATGCATCTATTACGACTCTAAGGGGTGTGGTTTCCTTTTCCAGGTTAACCACAGCATGGTGAGGTAGGTAGTTACAGGGCTCATTTGAGTCTCGTTTAATCATATGCCCTGATTGTTCAAATTCTTGCATAAACCTGACATATTTTTTCTTATAACCTTGGTCGCAAGAAAATTTGGATTCTAACGATTTGAAACGTTTAAATACAGCGGGTTTGAAATGACCTAACGAAGAAATGGGTTCCTTTAACGGAAGGTTACCACAAAGTTTCCACCAGGTGTGCGTGAATGGGTCTCAAATACCTTTTCACATTGAGCAGTATCATCATCTGGAAACTCTGTTGTACTACTAAATTCACCAAAGTTTGGGTTCCTGGTTTGAACAAAATTGCATCTAACCTACGGCTAGAAGGTACATAGGCCGTTCCCGACATGATCCAGCCCAATCGTGTTTTTTGTAAAGTTGGCAACCCTACGCCTAATCTATACTGGTTATTGGACATAAGATCATAAAATATCTCGACACCTAATATCATATCGATATCACCGCCTTGATAAAAGGTTTTGTCTGCCATTCGAAAATTATGTGGGATATTAAGTTGTTTTACACTTTCGACATAAGAAGGCAGTTTGCAAATCATAGGCACAATGAAGAAGGACAAATTGGTAGAAAATGCTTCACATTTTGATTGGATTGTCAGTTGACAACTGTGATTAATCTGGGTCACGCTTTCGTTAAACCCTAAAACCTCTATGTTTACACTATTTCTAGGTAAATTCAACCTTTTAAAAGCCGACTCCGTTATAAAGTTGGATTGCGAGCCCGAATCGAGAAGTGCACGCAAAGTGTGCTGGTGATTATTGACGTCGAGTACATCAATCAATGCTGTAGATAAGAAAACAGTTTGTTGTAGGTATGGTTGTGTTAAATCAATATTACGGCTGGTATGCAAGTTAACCGATTGTTGTGGGTTCTCAATACGTGATGTTGGAGTTGTATTTGTGGCGGGCTGTGGGTTAGTGTATAACGTAGTTAGTGGTTGCTGTCGACCTTGGTTGTTTGATTGGTTATTAGCATGATGGGAATTTCCTATATGTAAAAGTGTATGATGTTTACCTTTACATGTTCGGCAAAGACTCGCCCGGCAGTTTGCTACGATGTGGTTCGCTCCCAAACAATTAATGCAAAGGCCTATTTTTCGGACTGCGCGAAGGCGTGACGTCACATTTAGGGCCAAGAACTTCGGGCAGTATTGAATGTAATGAGACTCTTTACAATAAGGGCATTGATTGCTAAATACCTTAGGTTTAGGGGATGGTTTTGGAGATGTACCATGACCCGGGGAGGACGCGATCACCAAGGCCTTCCTTGTTCCATTCGCTTCCGGTTGCTCATCCGGCCTGTCAGAACCCAGGGATTCCAGCAGGTCAGCCTGAGCGCGCAGAAAAGACTTGAAATCCTGTAAATTAGGCAATTCACGTGAGTTGGTTTTTTCTTCCCATTTACGGTGTAAGAATTTATCAAGTTTAGAACTCAAGAGGAAAATCAATATAACATCCCAGTTTTCTGTGTTAACCGACAACTTGTTTAAGGTTCTGAGATGCTTCGACAGGTTATCAACTAATGTTCTCAAAGCTGATGGCGTTGATTGAATTGTTTCAATACTTAAGAGTTCTCGCAAGTGATTAGTGACTAGTACCTTGGGATTATTGTAACGCTCACAGAGTAATCGCCAAGCGATGGCATAGCTTTCTTCACAATAGTCCAACGAAGCTATTACGTTAAGAGCAGAACCGGTCAGACATCCCCGTAGGTATTTTAATTTTAATATAGGTTTTATGTTACTGTCATTAACAACGGCATTAAATTGATCCCTAAATTCCAACCAATTGGTAGCGTTTCCATCAAACGTTGGTAACTTAATTTCAGGTAATTTTACAGAATTAGAGTGTGGTTTGTCACTACTATTGGACAAGGGTGGCGCTGTCTGTGGTTTGCTATTTTCAAATTCTTGCATAAGTTTTTTACACAAAGAAACATTGGTATAATAGTTGTTCTCAAAGGCCTCTCTCTCCTGAAGTTGTACTTCATAATCCGTGCAAGCAGTTTCTATTAAATCTTGGATATTTTCATAATCAACAAGTATTTTAGTTATCTTAGAATATCGTAACTGTAAGTCGATGTATTTTTCAGCAGAAAGAGGGCCCTCAAGCGCATTAAGATATTTGACAAAAAAGGGTTAATTTTCCCTTGATAATCCCCCGTTTTTTAACTAATTCCTTCAAATCGACTACTGGCTCATACATTGTAGTACAAAAGAACTTTGGTTTTGAGATAATCAGTACTATATAGGTATAAAAAAAGCTCACTACTTAGGTAGGCAAAGCTACTTATCTTATTCTTCGATGTCACTGGTGAATGTTGGTTGTTTGTGGCCACCGCGTGGCCTATTGGTAGGTTATATCGATCAACATCGACACAGACGAAGTTCTTGGTAAATGCCGTTTTTCGTAGTTTCCCCGTCCCTGTCCGCCTCGTCCTCAACAAATATGGGTTTGCTCCGAAGATCCACAGAAGGACATCAGGTCCCAGGCTATCTCTGGCCCCTAGTCGTGCACCACGTCTTCCGATGAAAAAATATCTCCGTTGCGCTCTTGATTTTTCAAATGGCTGGTTCGGTTTCGTGTTTGCACTCTATTTCTTCTGTGTTTTATTAATCCTCGGACGGGAGAAAGGGTCACCAATATAAAATTATTGAGGATGCGCAGGGAAACTCGTGATTTTATTGTCGTATCGTTTATTCTGCTATCCATGGACGACTCCCCGCAAAATCTAGAACACTGTTCTTTTCATACATATAATAAGAGATGCCCTCTAGTGGCAACAAGTTAAACTAGGTACTTACATTACAGTTGTCAGTAAAGCGCCATCTGTTCGAAACGAGTGGGACCACAAGAAAGAGCCACCTGGTTCGTACAGATGTGTAATGAGGAAATATGTTGTTAGTAGTTGGTTTCAGCTTCCAACAGATGGAACCACTAACTACTAACAGGCTCATTTGAAAAGTCTCGATGTCAGGCCTACAATTTTATAAATATTTTGGCGTTTGAAGCCCGTTAAATTAATTTTTAATAAAATTTTACAATTTTTTATAAAATTTTCGAGAGTCGTCTCTATCTCAATCTTACTCTATGAACTATACAGTTATACCAGAATAGGTTACTTAATTTCTAAATTAATATTAAATAAAATATAATAAACAAAAAACACAAAAATATTTTAAATGCTCTAAATAGAGTCCGTCCCCCTCTAATTTGTTAAATCTTTAATTATATTATTTTTTACAAAAGACCCGGTTCGAATCGGAGCTTTAGTTAACTTATTATAGCGATTTTAAGTTTTTCATCCCCCAGAGAAGTCCAGAAGTCAACTTTGGGGAAGGGGGTTGAAATTCACCCCAAATGATCCGGTGGGGGTCGAAGACTATCCGGCTTCTGAATAGTGTGTGGGAGGGGTGACGGGGGGAGGGCGAAGGAATTTCGTCAGAATTGAGCTAGGAGGCTCCGTTTCCTGTAAACTAAAAACACAGTTAAAATGTAAATTTCAGAACCTCCCAGCTCTTATAATAAATTTAATATCTTAGAAACGTATTGTCCGAAAATTCTGAAAAAATTTGGGTATATAGTTCCTTAATTACCTATTTATAAAATATATTTAAAATATTTTTTGTCCTGAAAATTTTTTGTGTTTATGAAATTTTAATTAATAATTTTAATTTGGATTATGAAAACCAAAAACTGCAAATAGTCTGTAATTCGTAGATTTTAGAAGGAAAAATTTGGAAAAAAATTTAGAATATTGTCAATAGGTATACATTTTTGGTAATATTTTCAGGACTTTCAGTAATGTCTTCAGCCACCACGTGTGCTTACAGTTAAAATTATTAAGGTCTAAAAATATTATTATTTACACTCCGAAAATTAAAATTTTTACATCTATCGTTAGGTCTTGAGTTCCTTATTTAAATAAAATCTAATAAAATATGGTCATAACTGAAAATTTAGAGTTATTCACCTATGAAGCTCCCGGCTGAAAACTCGTGTCTTCAAAGCGCGATAACTTTAGTTTTTCTTGTCCGATTTCTATGGATGAGATGTCAAACGTTTTGCCGCAGTGCCCTCTTCCGAAGCACGACTTCAGAAAAAGCCGCACGGCTTCCAATCAAAAACACGTGTCCACGTGGTTTTTGTTTTCCGAAAATATTTCGGAAAGTGTTTGCCGAAAAAATCCGATTATTGTGGTATTTGCTTAAGCCTATCACAGCACGTCTTTCAGCACTATAAAAATGATATGTTATCGATCTCAATCGAGCTACGTTTCACTTTGAATTTTTTGTAGGTTAGAAAAACAGTTTTTCTGTCCTAGTTTTAAGATCGGTGCACTTTGACTCAACACTTGAATTTTCGAGCGCGGAGCAATACAAAAATGCTGCGTACGGAACGGCGTATGGAGTGTAACTGGGTAAGGTTAGGTTAGGTTACCCCCCGAACGGGATCCCGCCTTGTCGGGACGGGGGGGCTTAGTAGCCGTGGCTTGGTCGCCCGCGGTGAACAAAGAGGAACCCATGTGGCTGGCCCGAGGTGAAGGGCCGGCCCGAGGGGGCCATTCCGAGTGGGCTTTGCGAGCCCACTTCGGATGTGTGCAAGTGGACTGCAGCGAGAGGGCTGTCCGCACCCTCTACCGCTACAGCCGAGGTGGAGTCGCGGAGGAAGAGGAGTGTTGGTATGGCGATGTGCCACTCGCCCTATCCTCCGCGACTCCAATGGGGCCGCACCATTGATGCGGTGGTGGTGGGGCTGCGGGGGGAGAGGATTGTCGGTATTACGAGGCGCCGCTCTCCCTGCCCTCCGCAGCCGAGTCTTGGTTGGGGCGGAGCCATGGACCGGATACACCGCTGGGGTCAGGAAGGCTGGTTCTTCTAAGTGCTCGTTTTTCCTAGCCCCATGGCCTTCGCGCATCGGACGCGGGGGCGTCTGTTGCGCAGGTGTAATTGAAGGCCGTGGAGGAAGGCGCGCCATGTGTTCTGGTGCGCCTTACCTGGGAAGGAGAACGGGGAGGAATATTCCTCTCCCGAGGAGGTGCTGCCATGGGGTGGCAGGCGCTGGTAGGGCCGCGGATGTGTGCGAAAGCGTTCCCGTGGCCCTGCCAATATGCGACGAAGGTGGAACACCATGGGGTTTTAGTCGGTGCGAGTCCGACATAACCCGTCCTTGCCCCCGCGAGGCGGGTATGCGTAGGCATTTCCCCATGTAAAAAAAGGTTAGGTTAGGTTAGGTTAGGTTTAGGTTAGGTTCCCCCCGAAAGGGTTTCCGCCTTGTCGTGGCGGGGGTGCTTAGTAGCCGTGGTTTGGTCGCCTGCGGTGAACAAAGAGGAACCCACGTGGCTGACCCGAGGTTAAGGGCCGGCCAGAGGTGGCCACTCCGAGTGGGCTTGGCTAGCCCACTTCGGATGTGTACAGGTGGACTGCAGCGAGAGGGGAGTCCGCACCCTCTACCGCTGCAGCCGAGGTGGAGTCGCGGAGGAAGAGGAGTGTTGGTATGGCGATGTGCCACTCGCTCTATCCTCCGCGACTCAAACGGGGCTGCACCGTTGATGCGGTGGTGGTGGGTCAGGAAGGCTAGTGCTTTTGAGTGCTCGTTTTTCCTGGCTCCATGGCCTTCGTGCATCGGACACGGGGGCGTCCGTTGCGCTGCTGTAATTGAAGGCCGTGGAGAAAGGCACGCCATGTGTGCTGGTGCGCCTTACCTGGGAAGGAGAACGGGGAGGAATATTCCTCTCCCGAGGAGGTGCTACCATGGGGCGGCAGGCGCTGGTAGGGCCGCGGATGTGTGCGAAAGCGTTCCCGTGGCCCTGCCAATATGTGACGAAGGTGGAACACCATGGGGTTTTAGTCGGTGCGAGTCCGATATAACCCGTTCTTGCCCCTACGAGGCGGGTATGCGTAGGCATTTCCCCATGTAAAAAAAGGTTAGGTTAGGTTAGGTTAGGTTTTTTTTAATCTGTTCTACTGCTGCTATATATGCAGCGCCCTTGGTTACTTTTTTACCTGCTCATTTTATCCTCTTTTTTTTTGTTTTTCTTCTTTTTCTTTTCTGTCTTATTGCTACTGTACAAATATTACTATAAGCATGTTTCTAACAAAATTTGTTTATACTATTTCTAATGCTTACTAAGATACATTTACTTGTTTCACTATAAATAGTAACTTTTCTTACCAATATTACAAACTTGTTTTCGCAAAATATTTTTTACTATTATTTTCCTGTGCTATCAATTATTCATTTTTTGTATTATATTCCCTTTTTATTTCCTTTTTTATTTTTTATTTTTATTATTTATACATATTTACTCTTATCACAACTTTACTTTAAGCTACTTTTGGCGTTAAATTCTGTTACAAACACCCTTTTTTAATACAGCTATTTACAGTTATACCTAATTTTATACATATAATAATTACTAAATAAACTTCTTATATTATTATTTTCCTTTTTTTAATATACTATTATACAGTTTGTAACAAAAACCCTGTTGGTCGTTTCAGGGACGTATAGGTGTACACAAAGGCATGGTAATTATGATAATGAAAATTTTTTTTGGTTGCTTTAAATGGGGTTTTTAGGTTTCTAATAAGATAACTTAAGAAATATTAAATTTCTAAAAATGTTATTTGCTTCTGAACTTACCGACACGTGCCGACACGTCACTGTGACGTAGGCGTAGTGAAGCCGGACACAGTCGAGCGTGTACCTGCTGTACTGCCATATGTTAGAGGAGTCACTGACAAGATTGGCTACATCTTGAAGCGCGCTTCCATCAAAACATACTTCAAGCCGCTGAAGAAGATTGGTCAGTTTTTACCATCAGTCAAGTGTAATGTCCCTCTGCAAGATGCAGGAGTGTACCAGCTTGATTGTGAATGTGGTCTCTCCTACATAGGACAAACTAAAAGATCAATAAAAACCCGCGTTAAAGAACATATAGCTGATGTGAAGAATCGACGCTCCGGGAAGTCTGCAGTCTGTGAACACGTACAGGATCGCCCCCGTCACTACAACAGATTTGATAGACCGCAAATCCTCGCTAAAGAACACCGATTCCTTCCAAGGATGATTCGCGAGACTATTGAAATCAAAAAACATCCTAATTTCAATAGAGAAGATGGCTGGGTGCTACCATCTGCTTGGGATCCTACAATAAATAAAATTAAATCCCAACCCAAGCATACAACTGCAAGACTTCAAGATACGATAAGTTCATACTGCATAGATCGGAACAAAAGTTAAATTTTAATCTATGGTAACCGCGGTTAACTATGACATATGGACGTTGAACATCTCAGTCCCGCCCGTGACCATGAGTGCTGTAAAGCGTTCGAAACGTCGGGTATTTAAAAAGTTAAATATACGCGATAAATTCCGTAAAAACTAGTATTATTTCAATGTGTAGTGTTCGCGTAAATATAAGAAATTATTATGTAAACCAGTACGGACTGGTAATTGCAAATAAAATACGCCGATTAGAAGATCTAAAGACCAAGCGCGCAAGACATCTAATAGCCTTAAATTTCTTGAAGAGATGCCGTGACCATAATCTCATTCCTACGTGTGTCAAAATATCAACCAAAAAGGACATTCGAGGAAGCGCTAAGATCTTAAATCAGGCGAATAAAAAGTTGTTACGGACGGTAATCCAACAAAAACGCTCCGATCTATATAACATAAATAAATCCATAGACACATCATCCAGTGAATTAAAGAAAGTTTTAACGACGTTTGACTATAATTTTTGCATGAAAATATTAAACAAACGCGAAATTAGTAAATATAACGAATGCAAAAACAAACATATAGAAAAATATCAAAAATTAACGAACAAGTCAAATGTCAAACATCTGAATCAATGCCAGAACCAAAAGCAACCATTGACAAACACAGATCATAGATTAATCGCGCTCTATAATCTGTCAAAACAAACACTGGATGATGCAACAATTAGGGTTTTATCCAAAGGCATCAACTTTGCTATTACACCCCGCAAATTACCGTACGAAGAAATTATCTGTAGTGTCGAGGACTGTTTATTTAAAAACAATATGCGGAAAGAAGATTTGGAGGCGATACGTCAAGACATTTCGTCTATGTTACGTCGATGTTCAGTGCCTAAACCGAATATTCCCAAAGACGAATTTATAGCGTTAAAGAACCTACGAAATAAACACGAACTTACGATTCTCCGCGCAGATAAGGGAAACGCCACGGTAGTCATGGATACGTCACATTATAATTCTAAAATACAAGAACTTTTGTCGGATGTAAGTACTTATAAAAAGGTTAAAAACGACCCAACAAATAGCAGACTAAAAACAACTAGTGACCTCATAAAGAAACACTCCGAAAAATTAAATCTGGACGTAAAATGGATAATACCTACATGCGCCAAATCACCAAATTGTATGGGTTACCAAAAATACACAAGCCCAATGCTCCATTACGTCCCATAGTGAGCCAAATCGATTCACCAACTTACAGATTAGCTCAACACTTTGCGAAAATACTCTCACCGTTCAGGGGACACACAAGAGCACACATAAAGGATTCCTACCATTTTGTCAGCGAGATTAAAGACCTACATCTGGCAGACAATGAAACTATGGTCAGTTTTGATGTGCAGTCATTGTTTACATGCTTACCTGTTGAAGACTGCATCTCCATTGTAACTAGAAGGCTTGAAGAAAACAACATGCCCGTAGAATATGCAGTATTACGCAGACACTGCCTTACATCTGGCTACCTATTGTGGAAGGAGGAGTTCTACAAGCAAGTAGATGGTGTGGCGATGGGCTCACCTGTATCTCCCATTGTCGCCGACATATTCATGGAAGACTTTGAGGAGAAAGCCCTGCTTAGTTCTCCCATAAATCCAAGATTCTACAAGCGGTACGTAGACGACACTTTCACAATTCTACCTTTAGATAAAGTAACTGCATTTTTAGACCATCTTAACTCTATAAATTCTAAAATTCAGTTCACAATGGAGATAGAGGCAAACAATTCCTTAGCTTTTCTAGATGTGTTATTAATTCGGAATCCTGATAACACCTTGAGCTATACTGTGTATAGAAAAAAGACCCATACAGATAGATATTTAAACGGTGATTCTCACCACCATCCTTCACAGTTAGCTACCGTGGGTAAATCTTTGTTTCAGAGAGCACGAGGGATCTGCGACAGTAAACACCTGGCTGCCGAGCTCCACCATGTCAAACAAGTTTTGCATGACAAGAAGCTTCGAGTCCCGCGCCTACGTCACAGTGAACGAGTGAAGCCGGCCACAGTAGAGCGTGTACCTGCTGTACTGCCATATGTTAGAGGAGTCACTGACAAGATTGGCTAGATCTTGAAGCGCGCTTCCATCAAAACATACTTCAAGCCACTGAAGAAGATTGGTCAGTTTTTACCATCAGTCAAGTGTAATGTCCCTCTGCAAGATGTAGGAGTGTACAAGCTTGATTGTGAATGTGGTCTCTCCTACATAGGACAAACTAAAAGATCAATAAAAACCCGCGTTAAAGAACATACAGCTGATGTGAAGAATCGACGCTCCGGAAAGTCTGCAGTCTGTGAACACGTACAGGATCGCCCCCGTCACTACATCAGATTTGATAGACCGCAAATCCTCGCTAAAGAACACCGATTCCTTCCAAGGATGATTCGCGAGGCTATTGAAATCAAAAAACATCCTAATTTCAATAGAGAAGATGGCTGGGTGCTACCATCAGCTTGGGATCCTATAATAAATAAAATTAAATCCCAACCCAAGCATACAACTGCAAGATTTCAAGATACCATAAGTTCATACTGCATAGATCGGAACAAAAGTTAAATTTTAATCTATGGTAACCGCGGTTAACTATGACATATGGACGTTGCACATCTCAGTCCCGCCCGTGACCACGAGTGCTGTAAAGCGTTCGAAACGTCGGGTATTTAAAAAGTTAAATATACGCGATAAATTCCGTAAAAACTAGTATTATTTCAATTGATTTAAGTATTTCTTTTCCCTCTCTCCACACACTGATAGCGCCACCTACTTTGTCTTCTAACTTACTGCCGTCCGTGTATATTCTCGGCTTAAGGCCGTCAATTGCGTTTTCTTCTTCTTGTGTAACTAACATCTTGAAAGATACACGGTACCTTTCAGCGGGATGGGGTAAACAGAATGGGCTTATTGGTTTTTCTATGGTTCTTCCTGGTAGTTGTGTTAGTGGCTTTCCTCGCTTGATTTCATAGAGTGAAAGATGTTCCAATGCACTTAAGTCCAGAGGGATGATTCCTGATAGTAACACGCTAGACGTGAATGAGATTGTCCTGTGGCCTTTGCAGATCTTAATTATAAATATTCTTGTTATAAGTTCTAATCTTTTCCTCATGTATTCTTTTTTCGCTACCGTGGCCCATACACTAGCCACATAAGGAATAGTTGGCTCCACTACAGCTACATATATCGTTTTGACTATTTCTGAGTTAAGACCCCAGTTGGCTCTTGCTATTCTTAATATTGTTTTATAGATGTTTAGTGCTTTTCTGAGAACTTCATCTAAATGTTCTACAAAATTTAGATTTGTGTCAAAAGTAACACCAAGTACTTTCAGACTCGAAGATGGTTTGATAATGATATTATTCATTTTAATTGTAGGAATTTCATAGGATAGCTTTATTGTGATTACTATTGCTTGAGAAGAGAAGTTGAAGTTCAATTTGTATTTTTCCCCAATGCCACTATTCGCTCTAAAGCCGGATTTAGTTTTTCTTTTACTGAATTAGCTGAATGTCCTTTTGCAATAACAAGTATGTCATCCACATACGCCTGTATACGGACATTTAATTTTGAAATTGATTCGAGAAGGGGATTTAAAAGTATATTACACAGGTTGACCCTTGTATACAGCCTTTGGTGGTTGATTTTGTGACTTCTGCTCCTGCATACTTTAGTAAAATGCTTCTAGATGACACGTAACTAGTGACTAACCTAAGAATCTCTGGACTAACCCTTTTCTTTTTCATTTCTGTGATTATTTATGTGGCCACCAAGCATTATCAAATGCCCCTTCAATGTCGAGAGATACCACTACAACGATCATTTTTTCTTTGATGCCCTGTCTTATCACCGTCATTGTATCATATAAATCGTCTTCTGTGCTGCGCTGTGGCATGAATCCGTATTACAAACTGTTGAGTTTATCTTCACTTCCTTGTAAGCCTCATAGCAGATGTCTGATGTTATACCATCTTCTCCTGGTGCCTTTTTGGGGCTCATTCTTTGTAGTACCATTTCTATTTCTTCTTCTGTGAATTTCCGAAAATTAATAGAGTCATATCTTAGGTCCTTAATAATTGCATTCGATTCATAACGAACTTCTTCTTGTATTTAATTCATCTTCAGGGTAGAATATTTTAGCTAGTAACATAGCTGAATCATCCGGATTGAGAGTTTTTTCTCCTAAACGCAAAATTTTGTCTTCGTTTATTGTTGTGCATTTCCTAATAATTCTGTAAATGCTCTGTCATATTGTCTCTTTTTCCTGCTTTGTACATAGCTCCTTCCGGCTCGCAGTAATTGTAGACATTATGTTACTCACATATTTTTCTTTGGCTGCTGTAAATTCTTGGATAAGGAAGGCGCCTGGCGTTCGCAAATCTTATTCTTCTTCTTATTCTTATTAATTCTCGTCATTCAGCTCTTAACTCCTTAGTCCACCAGGGTGTGCAGGTTGTGTTAATTTTTTTAGAAATAGGTGGTATTACCCTTTTACTAGCAATGCTGACTTGTTTAATGTATTTGTCTAAAATGTCTTACAATTATTTTTAATTCCCGACGTTTCGGGCGCTTTCCAGCACCCATGGTCACGGGGGACTGAGATGACTGACGTCCCGATGTCATTGTTAAGCCCGGAGTACCTTCAGCTTTCTTAATTATTGTTTATGGTCCGATCTATGCAAAATGAACTGACTATGTCCTGAGGTCTTGCAGTGGTATGCTTGGGTTTAGTTTTAATTTTATTGATTATAGGATCCCAAGCAGGTGGTAGAACCCAGCCTCCTTCTCTATTGAAATTAGGATGTTTTTTAATTTCAATAGCCTCACGTATCATCCTTGGTAGGAATCGGTGTTCTTTCGCGAGGATTTGTGGTCTATCAAGCGGAATCTGATGTAATGGTTGGGACCGTCTAGAATATGATCGCAAGCTGCAGACTTCCCGGAACGTTGATGCTTCACATCAGCTATATGTTCTTTTACGCGGGTTCTAATTTATCTTTTGGTCTGTCCTATATAAGAGAGACCACATTCACAATCAAGCTTGTACACTCCTGCATCTTGTAGAGGAATATGACACTTGACGGATGGTAGGAACTGACTAATCTTCTTCGGCGGCTTGTAGAATGTTCTAATAGAAGCTCGCTTCAAGATATAGCCAATCTTGTCTGTGACACCTCTGACATATGGTAGTACAGCAGGCACACGCTCGACTGTGGCCGGCTTCACTCGGTGACTGTGACGTAGGCGCGGGACCCGAAGCTTGTTGTCGTGCAGAACTTGCTGACGTACTGAAGCTCGGCGGCAAAGTGTTTACTGTCACAGATCCCTCGTGCCATCTGTAACAAAGATTTGCCCACGGTAGCTAACTGTGAAGTATGATGGTGAGATTCACCGTTTAAATATCGGTTTGTATGGGTCTTTTTCCTATACACAGTGTGACCAATGATGTTGTTAGGATTTCGGATGACTAACACATCTAGGAAAGGTAAGGAATTATTTGCCTCTAACTGCATAGTAAATTGAATTTTAGAGTTTATGGAATTAAGATGTTCTAAAAATGCAGTTACTTTGTCTGATGGTAAAATTGTGAAAGTATCGTCTACGTACCGCTTGTAGATCCTTGGTGTAACAGGTGCAGTAAGGAGGGCTTTCTCCTCAAAGTCTTCCATGAATATATCGGCGACAATGGGAGATACAGGTGAGCCCATCGCAACACCATCTACTTGCTTGTAAAACTCTTCCTTCCACAATAGATAGCCAGATGTAAGGCAATGTCTGAGTAATACTGCATTTTCTGCTGGCATATTATTTTCCTCTAGTTTCCTAGTTATAATTGAGATGCAGTCTTCAACAGGTAGGCATGTAAATAGAGACTGAACATCAAAACTGACCATGATTTCATTGTCTGTAAGACGTAGGTCTTTTATCTCACTGACAAAATGGTATGAATCCTTAGTGTGTGCTCTTGTGTGTCCTCTGAGTGGTGATAATATTTTAGCTAAATATTGAGCCAATCTGTAAGTTGGCGAATCAATCTGACTCACTATTGGACGTAATGAAGCGTTCGGTTTGTGTGTTTTTTTTGTAACCCATACAACTTCGGTGGTTTAGCACATGAAGGTATTATGCATGCAGGACAATGAAAGGGTTCTGACTCAGCATGTGTTGCAGAGAATCTACAACGCTGTTATTCTGTCAGCACCCATATACCTACTTAGTGAGCTAAAGTATAACAGTACGCGTACATCACCGATTATATTACAAATAGCTTTTAGTGTTAAATTATTTATTTATTCATTTAGCCAGTACAAGAACTATATAATTAACCAGTACAAGTTATCATAATATTTCTATTAATAATTTGATAATATACATGTACAAGAGATAAAACATAATATAAACAAAATATAAACGTAATATAAACAAAAACATGAAAAAAAAATAGTAGTATTAAAAGTAAGAGCTACAGTAGTGTTTTATTTATTCAGACTAATTATAATAATTATGCTAGAACAACGTAATGGTTATTAAAAAGAATATTGGTAGTAAATGTAAGTTACATAATTGCATATATTCAGCCCCTGCCAATTTTTTTTTATATTTATGGCATTTTCTGCGTACTTAATAAATACTCTTTGTATTTTCTCTTAAAACTGTTATTATTTGTTATGACTCGTAATGGTGGTGGAAGATCATTCCAACATTTTGTGGCCATAAATTTGTAACTACCACGAAATAATGATGTCCTATGTTGAGGTATGCAAAGTACTTTTGCACACTTTCGGATACCGTACATATGTTGATTTTGTCTCCACTAAAGCTTTTCATATAGGTATTCTGGTTTATTTGTTTTTATCACTCCAAATAGCAGGGAGGCATAAAATAATTGAAGACGTTCCTGCATTTTAAGCATATTAGAGGCATTAAGGTAAGGTGTAACATGTGTTCGTCTTGGGATGTAAAAACAGTAACGAGCGCAAGCATTTTGTACCCTTTGAATTAAATTTTTTGATTTTTTAATACACAAGGTCCATACAAAGTTATACAATAATTTAGTTTAGACAGAACTAAGGTTTCACATAATTTAACACGTAAGTCTGCAGTTATAAACTGCCTGATTGAATATAAAACTTTCAATCGGAAAAAACAACCTTTTACGACATTAATTACATGATTTTCAAACTTTAAATAACTGTCCACAAGAACCCCAAGATTTCGTACTTCAAAAAGTCGTTCAATGTTTTTCCCATCAATACGTACGTTAGGATCAGTAGAAGTTATGTCCTTTACATGCTTTTTAGTACCTATAGTAATAAACTTAGATTTTGTTGGATTAAGGAGCATGGAGTTATTTTGTGACCAAGAACTAATGCGTTGAAGATCCTCATTTAACTTATCCACCGCTGTATTTACATTTTTACTATCTACACTAATATACACCTGTAGATCATCGGCATAAATATGGTATTTGCAATTTTCAAGACATGATGTTATATCGGAACTATAAATGATAAAAAGCAAAGGGCCCAAAATAGATCCTTGAGGGACATCTTTATTGACAGGAAGAAGTTGAGAAACATAGCTTTCGCCATCATTCCTGTTAATTATAACTTGTTGTAGACGATTATTGAGATAATTCTTAAACCACACCAATGCCCCGTTACCAAAACCGTAATATGATAGTGTATCTATTAACAAATCCGTATTTATCGAATCGAATGCTTTTGAAAAATCTAAAAGAGTAAGGATCGTGCCTTTGCCAGAATCCGAAAAAGACAGCACGTCATCTACAACATTTATAAGGGCTGTAGCTGTCCCATGACTCTTCCTAAATCCTGATTGTAACTTAGGTAGTATTTTATTTAGTTCACAAAAGTATACTATTTGAAAGTGTACAACTTTTTCCAATATTTTTGATAAATATGGTAAAATGCTAATAGGCCTTAGGTCGCTTAAATCAATTGCATTTTCTTTTTTTGGTACGGGACGAATTAGTGCGGTTTTCCACTGAGAAGGAAAAATTGATTCTGTGATAGACCTATTAATTATTGCTGTTATAACCTTTAATGTTTGTGGTAGTGTCAAAAGTATCATTTCCATACTAATTCGATCAACCCCTTGTGCGTTCGACTTGATAGCCATAATAACTTTTGCAACTACACTTTCATGGACTGGCATTAACTTTAATGTGTTTGAGTTATATTTAGAACTTTTAAAGAATTTAGCATAAGACGAACCAGTATTGCTTATGTCCGGTATATTAAGAAAGTGGTGGTTAATTTTATCAGAATCATTAAAATGGTCTGGTAAATTGTTAGAATTTTTAAATGAAGGTAATGCAACCGATTTCAAGTTTTTCCACAAAATGTTTGCTTTATGTAGGTTCTGATTAATATGATAGTCAAAATATGCTTTCTTCTCAGTATTAAGACAACTAATAGCTAGTCTTTTAAGAGATTTGTAATGAGTTTATCACTTTCAGCTTTTGTTTGTCGATACTTATTATGAGCGCTGTCACGCAGTTGCATCATGTACCGAACATTACTAGTGAACCATAGCAGTTGTCTTTTTTTAAACGTTACTAATTTCTCAGGAGCATGCTTATCAAATAATTCTGAAATTTTTTTGGAAAACTCAGATAACATTTGATCGACACAGCTAAACCCTGTGATAGTATCCCAATTTATAGCTTCGAGATCTGATAGAAAAGCAAGCATATTGATACTTTTAATAGGTCTTATAATTTGTTGTATTGGTGTTATCTTAGGTTTTTTTAAATGGAAGTCAACCAAAATAAAAGCGTGCCCTCCTAATTCTGGTGTATGTTTAACAAGTGTATTTGTAACACGTGCATCCGTGATAACTAAATCAATTAACGTTGCACTGTCTCGTGTGAAGTGTGTAGGTTCTGAAATACAGTTACTTGAATTAGTATAGGTCAGAAATTGTTTGAGACGTAGAGATTTGCTGTCATTAGTATCCAAAATGTTAATGTTAAAATCGCCTAATAATATAAAATAATCAAAGTTGGATTGTGAAGTTAAAGTGTCGGTAAGAGAATCAAGAAAATTATCCACATTGACCCATTTTTTGCTTCTTATTGACCCAGCATTATAGAGACCAACTCTAAAACTTTTATATCTAGCCATTGTTATGTAATATAATGTAATGTCTTAAATTTTGAAACAAATTAAATAAAAATATAGGGAAAAGTAAGAACACAATAAGTTATAATTTGTACTAACCAACATCGAAATAAAAACAACGCGTATAAACAATATTAAAAAGGATTTCAACAGTTTAGCAGAATGTAGACAAAAGATTGAATTAAAATAAAAAAGTAGGGCACAATGAGATCCCTAATATTAACAGTAAAATATTTTTTTAGCATTTTTACTGTTATCAGAATATTAATTAATAAAATGTAATAATATTTGTAGTCAAACTGTTCTAGAACTAAGTTGACATTAAAAGTATAACGTGTATTAAAACTAATATACAACAGACCGAGTAATAACAACAATAAATTATAACCTGTACTGACCAATATCCAAATAAAAACAACACGTATAAACAATATTAAAAAGGATTTTAACAGTTTAGGAGAATGTAGATAAAATACTGAATTTAAATAAAAAATTAGGGCACAATGAGATCCCTAATATTAAAAGAAAAATATTTTTTGAATATTTTTACTGTTATCAGAATATTAAATAATAAAGTGTAATAATATTTGTAATCAACAAACATTATCCATATGTGAAATTTTTGAAGGCTTATTTTGTTCACTTTCTACTTGTTTACGTGCATATATGTTTTCTTGCTCAAGTGTTTGAACTTTTTCGCGAAGTGTACTTATTTCTCTTTTTAAGTCGCATATTTCTCCTGTTAGGGATTCAGTTATTTTCAAAAACTCACTTTCCAGCTTCATCAAAACTTCATTAAATTCTTGTTTAATTTCCGAAGCTAATGAGTGACGAGTGTTTTGTAACTTAGTGTCCAATTTATCGTCAAGCAATTTACCTAATTCTTCTAAAGAAAAAGTAGATTTTATTTGTGTGTTGTGTTATGTGTATTTTGATTTCTTAAATTTACGCGAACACTACACATTGAATAAAACTATTATTTACGGATTTTATCGCGTTTAATTACTTTAATTTATTTTTATTATTATCCCGACGTTTCGGGTGCTTTACAGCACCCATGGTCACGGGGGGACTGAGATGTTTGACGTCCCAATGTCATAGTTAGTCCGGCTACCTTCAGTTTTTTTTTTAATATTAATTTTTGGTCCGATTTACGCAAAACGAGCTTATAGTATCATGAAGTCTTGCAGTGGTATGCTTGGGTTTGGGTTTAATTTTGTTAATTATAGGATCCCAAGTAGATGGTAGCACCCAACCATCTTCTCTATTGAAATTTGGATGTTTTTTAATTTCAATAGCCTCGCGTATCATCCTTGGTAGGAATCGGTGTGCTTTTGCGAGAATTTGTGGTTTATCAAATCTAATGTAATGGTGGGGACGATCTTGAACATGTTCGCAGACTGCAGACTTCCCGGAGCGTCGGTGCTCTCTCACATCAGCTATATATTCCTTCACGCGGGTTTTTATAGATCTCTTTGTTTGACCTATGTAAGAGAGATCATATTCACAATCTAGCTTGTACACACCTGCATCTTGTAGAGGAATATTACATTTGATGGATGGTAAAAATTGACTAATCTTCTTCAGCGGCTTGTAGTATGTCTTAATGGACGCTCGCTTCAAGATGTAGCCAATCTTGTCCGTGACTCCTCTGACATATGGTAGTACAGCAGGCGCGCGCTCGACTGTGGCCGGCTTCCCTCCTTCACTGTGACGTAGGCGCGGGACCCGAAGCTTTTTGTCTTGCAATACTTGCTTGACGTGCTGAAGCTCCGCGGCTAGATGTTTTCTATCACAGATCCCTCGTGCTCTCTGAAACAAAGATTTACCCACGGTAGCTAACTGTGAAGGGTGATGGTGAGATTCACCATTTAGATATCGGTTGGTATGGGTCTTTTTCCTATACACAGTGTGACCAATAGACTTAGTGTTATCAGGATTTCGGATGACTAAAACATCTAGGACGGGTAAAGAATTATTTGTCTTTAACTCCATTGTGAATTGTATTTTAGAGTTTATGGAGTTAAGGTGGTCTAAAAATGCAGTTACTTTGTCAGATGGTAAAATTGTGAAAGTGTCGTCTACGTACTGCTTGTAGAACCTTGGATTTACAGGAGCAGTAAGTGGGCTTTCTCCTCAAAGTCCTCCATGAATATGTATAACTATGACATTGGGACGTCAAACATCTCAGTCTCCCCCGTGACCATGGGTGCTGTAAAGCACCCGAAACGTTGGGATAATAATAAAAATAAATTAAAGTAATTAAACGCGATAAAATCCGTAAATAATAGTTTTATTCAATAGAAGTATTTTGTTTTTTACCTCCATGGTGCTCAAAATCTGACGGCGGCAGTTCATTTACTTGCATGTTATCACTAGACATGTTAATGACATCAGATGGTGATGAATCCCCACAGTTAACTTTTACCGGTGTGTCGTCTTTTCTGGATCGCCGTTCCGTAACGTTGGTGCAAGTAGGACATTTCCATGATCTTTTAAATTTTTGATAGTTACCCATAAATTTCGCAGATGTAATATTAAGACACATATAATGATAGGTTCTTTTACATAAAATACATCCCAATAGTTCATTTCGTTCAATAGAGTTTTCACATGCCGAGCATTTCATTTAACTGTACTAATATACACAATGATAGTAATTATTTATACTAAACACTTTATAATTTGTTCAAACAAGTGGGTATTAGGAAAAACATACGCATTTCAATAATTGTAGACGAACCAGAACAATATGCAGTATCAAAGTCCACCGCACTGAGTATTAAAATTACGAAGCAATTCAATCTTTGTTTCATACTACACTTTCTTTGCTTTTTTACTTTAATTTTAAGTAACTAACTTCTAACTATTGATATTTGCTTTTTACACAGTATAAATATAAATATTAATTGCAAAAATATTTATTCATCACGGAGTTAATACAGTATGATGTTAACTCGGCGATGTACGCGCGCTCTAAATACATGTATAAGTCTTCCGTACGTGTGTTTGTCACTCAAAACTTAAAAGTTCTTGGATGTCTTTGAGCTTTTGCATACAGGAGGATTGAATTTCTGCGAGTTGTTTGGTGTGTGCTCTCTCAACTCTAACCAGCTCTTTTGCTGCTCGACTGCGTTCTTGCTCTAATGCGAGCCGATGTTAGGAGCGTCAGTCTGAGAGTGAGAGCACTGCTTCATATAGCCCTTGAAGGCAATCATGTACCTCCTGCTTGCACTCCCGCTTCATGTTCCCCGCTTTCTCCAATGCCTCTTTCCCTGAGAGCAAAAATTCGTTAGTCCGCTGTGTTGCAAGATCCATGGAAATGCCAGCGCGCTTATATAAGGGGGGTTAAATACTAGATCTCTTACTGTTATCACTGATGATGCTGTCAACATCTGACTATTCATCGTCAGTGTGTTGTACACGATTACAAATTCCTAGCAAGTCCAATTCTGCCTCCATGTCTCTTGCAACAGAGCTATTTTGTTCCGAGGCACTGTCGTGTTCCTGTGGATCGTTTGAGGATACGTTCTCTTGCTCTATTGGTTCCTTTATAATGGCTATAGTATGCGAGTCTGGTCGATTACTACATCCAGGTTCTCCTAACATAGCCCTTTGAGAGTCCTCCATATCCTCAGTTGGTTTTTGCGTGGAGGCTGCGTTCTGTAAAAGCACTTTTTTCCGCAAAGTTGATGCAGATACCGGGCTTATGACTCTACCAGATCTAGAGGACTTGGATTTTACCACTTCAATACACGTTTTTCCCGACATACGCCCGATATTAATAATGTATCTCGAATCCAAGATTAACCACAATCTTGGATTGGGGAATGTTGTTCCATTGATCTTCAATCCGCATGCCAATAACTCAACTCGGCTATCCTAAATTTTTTTCGACGACAGATTGCAAGCAATCCGATCCCTCTTGACCGTTCCATTTGATGAAAAATATCGATTGCATAAAAATATATTAAGTGTGTTTTAAAAATAAATCATTCACGTAACTACTTAAAAAAATAGTTCAAAATAATCTTTGTAAGTTAGATCGAGCAATATTATGTCTAAAAATTTACAGAAATTTAAATTTCACAGTCTATTATTGGTATTAAAACTATGACATTATTTAGCTAAAATGGAACGTATGATGTTAGGCGTCTTATGTTTGACATATTTTGATTTTGACTAGACATGTGTCGATCATTCATTTCTAGCGACCGAATGATTCTAGTACATTTCGTTACGCGTACTGGTACATTCGGATCGATCATTCAAATGGATCATTTCAGGCTCCAGTACTCTGTGAGTACATTACGAGCCGAAAATTTTTACATTTATTTGCTATAAAATTAAACCTTTACCTATCTTATACTTATATAAAGTGGTTGAAAATTATCATTAAATAAATCATTTATCATGAAATCTTTTGAAGTGTCATTTTTAGTAAACTCTACGATATTATATTTTTAACTCATAGATTTAAGAAATGAATACAACAAAATGTTAAATAAATTTTAATTTAGGTAATAATATTATAATACAGAAACCCTTAAATAATAAATACTCCTGATACTCTGCAGTCTGCATTGTTAATACGATTCGCCTGTTTATTCAGATCATTCGGGATTCGGTCGGTTTGCGGCTCATTCACAATTCAAACAAATCGCGGGTTAAAAAGGTACCGTCAGTTGTTTGTGATTGGTTGTACTGGTACATTCAAAAACAAATGAATGAACCATCAATACTTTTAAGTGTACCAGCTCAAACGAACGAATCATGCATGATTGACACATGTCTAATTTTGATAGATCATTTTGATTGCATTTGCGAGTTGCGACGTAAATTATTTCAGTGTAGCAAACTTAAGACAATATTATCTCTTGTTATATATTAGTAATTACAGTAAAATTGATTCAGAAATCGTAAGTACTTATTGTTTTATATAATATTTTTCTAAGTTGCGCGCGCTTACTTTGTGACTCTTACTATTTCCCGCCTTATTTATAACATTGATGTTAATCGTTATAATTTTCTTTTACTAGATAAAAGGCAAACCTCTTACAAAAGAAGAGACAAAGTCTTTGCTTGGACAAATAGCAAAATAATAACCACCAAAACAACCAACGCCACAAACAACAAACTCAAAACGGAAGAGTGGATTCGTTTGGCAGAGCGGTTCAATGCCACAGCTACTAATTGTCCGAGAACACCACAACAGTTGCGTTTGAAGTGGGAAAATTTAAAAAAAACTCGCGCAAGCGCAGCACCCAAATAAGGATGTACCAAATTAAGGTTATCTACTTCTAACACATGTATATCTTTATTCATAGTCTAAGACTAAGACTTTTAATGGCATGTTGTAATAATAATGTTAAATCTAATATTCTTATTGCAGACTGGTGGTGGTCCTGCCGATTATATACCTCCAGATGACATATTAGACCGGGTGACCAGTCTATTAGGAAGTACAGTCATTGGGTTTACTGTGCCTTTTGGGGGTGATAAGGAAATGGCTTGGTTTGATGTTTGTGGTGGTGCTGATGGTATAGTTGGAATAAGTGATGATCTTGAAAAAATTGGAAATGTGACGGTGCAGACAGAACAAATAGTTGATACAAGTGAAACCACAATCTCTACACCATTATCTAATAAAAAAAAGGTATTGAGACTGTGGCCTCTGACTATCAAGTGTTGGATCTAGTTGACCAAAATTTAATAACTTCTAATAAAACCAAAAGGCTTACATTTGGTACACCTAGAGCAGGTAATGGTTGTTTTGTCGATTTTTGATTTATTACTAATTAATGTTTCTTATTTTTTACATTCCATACTTTCTTTAGATTTATGAAATACAATATTTATTAATTTAACCTTGTGGAGGATTATTTATGTAAGGCTTATTTAATTGCGTCGATGCAAGCTATCATATCATTTATATCACAGGGAAATCAGACTGTCAATCATAATTATTTGTGAAAGATCTTTTCTTTATGAGATTGACTCTTTGATGTTAATAGTTATAAACTCATTAAAGTATCTTAACCTCCTTACTGAGTTGGATATACTTGCTTTTTCTTCACACTGTAATCTTATAGATGAGATGACAGAATTTTATGAATACTGATGTCTTTGAAACGGCTAAATACAAACAATATCCCATTATTGCATCCACAGTATTATTATATGTTAAGTTTTATGAAAAAAAAGTAAGTGCACTTGTATTGATCTCACATTTGCTTTGTTTTCCAGAGGAAAAGAAATTTAAGCCAGATGAGAACAGGACAGCCAGGAACACTGCTATAGCTGAATATTATTCAGCGAAAAAACAATGCTTGGATGCCAAGTTAAATAATATTAACTTAGAAAATGATTATTTAAAACTAAAAAATGTAGAACTTAAACTGAATAATGAAAAGCTTACGTTAGAGACTGAGAAATTAAAATTAGAATTAGAGCGGTTAAGAAAGCAATAATGTCTAGTGTAGTATAATAACTTTAATACTTAATTAATCTGTAGCTTAGTAGTAGTAAATTTGAATATATAAATGATTGTGTAATTGTATAAAATTTAGGAAACTTTAGCATGTAAGTAGGTATTGTTTTCAGCTTATATATGGTCTTATTGACCCAGTTGACGAAGCATTGTCTAAATGAAATAGTGATGAATAAAATTATTACCTATGAATTCGGAATCCTGATAACACCTTGAGCCATACTGTGTATAGAAAAAAGACCCATACAGATAGATATTTAAACGGTGATTCTCACCACCATCCTTCACAGTTAGCTACCGTGAGTAAATCTTTGTTTCAGAGAGCACGAGGGATCTGTGACAGTAAACACCTGGCTGCAGAGCTCCACCATGTCAAGCAAGTTTTGCATGACAACAAGCTTCGAGTCCCGCGCCTACGTCACAGTGAACGAGTGAAGCCGGCCACAGTCGAGCGTGTACCTGCTGTACTGCCATATGTTAGAGGAGTCACTGACAAGATTGGCTACATCTTGAAGCGCGCTTCCATCAAAACATACTTCAAGCCGCTGAAGAAGATTGGTCAGTTTTTACCATCGGTCAAGTGTAATGTCCCTCTGCAAGATGCAGGAGTGTACAAACTTGATTGTGAATGTGGTCTCTCCTACATAGGACAAACTAAAAGATCAATAAAAACCCGCGTTAAAGAACATATAGCTGATGTGAAGAATCGACGCTCCGGGAAGTCTGCAGTCTGTGAACACGTACAGGATCGCCCCCCGTCACTACATCAGATTTGATAGACCGCAGATCCTCGCTAAAGAACACCGATTCCTTCCAAGGATGATTCGCGAGGCTATTGAAATCAAAGAACATCCTAATTTCAATAGAGAAGATGGCTGGGTGCTACCATCTGCTTGGGATCCTATAATAAATAAAATTAAATCCCAACCCAAGCATACAACTGCAAGACTTCAAGATACCATAAGTTCATACTGCATAGATCGGGACAAAAGTTAAATTTTAATCTATGGTAACCGCGGTTAACTATGACATATGGACGTTGAACATCTCAGTCCTGCCCGTGACCATGAGTGCTGTAAAGCGTTCGAAACGTCGGGTAATTAAAAAGTTAAATACACGCGATAAATTCCGTAAAAACTAGTATTATTTCAATATTACCTACGAAATTAAATGGTTGTTTTCAACACCATTATATTATTGTTTATTTTTATAATTATTTTGAATAAACCAATTTCATCCATTTTACAGTCTTTAATTTTGAAATAAAAAAATTATCGGCATACCGTGAATTCCGGCGTTTAACTTACAAATGACTGTTTGCGATAAATACCTCAACTGAGATATTTTTAGCAAATAATTGTTTTTTCAGTATTATTTGTTGACACCTAAATTTTAATAACGCATATAATTATAAGGTCTAACTTATTTTGGACCAAGTTAAGCAATATTTAAAAATATTTGTATGTATTCAATAATCATTAAAATAAGTAGAATTTTAATTTACGAGTATTCATTTATTGCATTCCCAATTACAAAAGAATAAAAAGTTAACGCTGTTAGGCTTTCTCTACTAGTCAACCCATACTTCTATTTTAGTGAAGTAATTGTATTAATATAAATCCTTTATATCTTTTCAAATAAATTATTGAAAAAAAAATTAAATTGGGCAGTAATTGGATAGTAGGCTTTTTCTTTTTGTAGCATGGGGTTTTCTTAGGATTAAAATTTAAACATATAAACTTTTGACATCTTTGATTCATTATTTCAAATTTAATAGGTAAAAATTTCATATATAATAAAACAAACATTGTTTTGAAAAGTATTTAATTTATCTAAAATAATTATTTATAAGGGATGTTCTTTCACTAACATTCTGAACTTCCGTAAAGTACACTTCTTCATTTATTTCCGCTGTTGGCAGCTCTACTTCTGAAGAAACTTCCTCTAAATTGTGGTTCCTACAAATATTGTGCAATACTGCGGTAGCAATTATTATTGCCTGAACTTTAGGCAATAATAAACGCAGTGTTAATGCCACAACAGGGAAGCGACGCTTCCAGACACCGAATGTCCTGAGAAAAAGATGATTGTGTATATTAAAAAAAGCTAGTTACAAAATTTTTTATTTTTATTAATATGAAATAATATGGTAGAATATAGAACCTCCTTTTCTGCTAAAAATAAAATACCTAATACTTGTTAGACATAAACAAAGTAGTTACCTTTCAATAACATTTCTAGTTTTTATGTGTGCTTCATTATAGCGCTTTTCAGCCTCAGTAACAGGATTTATAATAGGTGTTAACAAATATGGCCTGTTTAGGTAAGCGCTGTCACCAACTCCAGCGGTTACCAAACAGACCCGCATCACATTGTGCTGTAAGACTTTAATTAAATTATTGTAGCACTGAAATATAAGAAATGCTAACAAAATTATTAAACCAGTCAGAAACCTCTAAGAATTGAGTTGTTAAATATTGTGGCATCATGTGTCGAGCCTGGCCAACGGGCAATCACATTCATGAATCTCAAATCAGCATCACAGATGGCTTGGACATTTAAAAAAAAGTAACCTTTACGATTCCTAAATTCTTCACCAATTACAAGACCTAGAAGAAAACATAGTTAGTGTATCTTTTTTATATAATAAGAGTGACAAACTAGTATGTAGTTCACACGGTGGTAAGAAGATGCTGTTATAGACCTACGTTTGTTCTACATTTAAGATTAAAATGTAGATGCATTGTCACACCTGAGGACTATCATAAAATACATCATTATCATATTTTACACAGCATATTTAACACTTGTATTTGTACCACATACCTAATATAGTAAATTAGTGTTTTATAAATGATATTTATGATAAGAAAACAATTTTACTCCATAAATATTAGGAAATACATGGCGATTGGATTCGTATATGAGTGCAATCAATTGCGGCAAGAACTCTAGGAAATCCTTCAATATGATAGAATTTTTCAGCACTATGTTGGTGTACAAAAATGTATTCATCATACAAGTTGGCAATTGCTGATGATATATCACGAACTATTCTGCCAGCTGTCGATATAGAGACTCCTACAAAGTCAGCTACAGAAATTAGCATCGTGCCTAATGCATAAAATCGTAGTGTTGGTAAAAGTTGATGGAGTGGTGAAACTCCATTGTTCCTGAAAATTTAAAACTATTACTGAACACACACACAATACAATGTTTTGAAATTAAATTGCTTTGTGTTTAATTTATTGTTTTACATCATTTCCAAAACTATTTACCTTGTTGAGGTTACACGAATAAACAGCATCAATTCCATTAAAAGCGATGTGAAAGCAGGTTTTGATAACCTAAATCTAAACGTGAACTCGGCATCATCCAGGCTCTGCATGTAGTTAACTCTTCTAATTTTTCGTGAAGAAGCACGGTGTCTATCCTCAGCATCGCTATCAGTCGCTATCCCAATCGGATAACTGAGCCAGCACATCCAAATCACTGTCATTACTGTCACTAGAAAATATCGATATTTCCATTTTCTTTCTTTAGTAAAATCAACGCTGTGACGAAATCTCCGGTATTTCTTGGATTGCAATCTGCGATCGTTTATACCGGTCAAATGTCAAGGTCAAATGTCAAAATGGACAGATAGGTTATTAACCCTAGAATACTAATCATATTTTACAAACGTATATACTAATCGTGAGTCATTTTGACTACACATGAATGAGTACATAAATTGAACATCAAAACCAATTTTCTGTCTGTATTTTTATTTTATATAGGTATAAGCTATGTTTATGTAGGTATTAAATAAAAAAATGTTTATATATAAGAAAAAATTTATATAAAAAATAGTTTTACTCTCTTAATACTTTTTTTGAGATCACAATCATGAATCTGATAATTTAAAAAAAAAGAATAACATAAATTAAAAACCTTCTTCTTTTAAAATTAATTAAAATAAAATGAGAACGAATTAACGATATAAAAGAGAAATTATCCTAATTTGGCACAATTAACACATATTTCTATCTTATGTTCCCCGCATATGTTTTTTTGGCACTTCATACATCTGATTTTAGTCATGCGGTTCTTTTTGTAGGAGCGAAGTGAACATCTTTTCCTTTTTTTTGCATCAGGTTCATCTTTTTGTTGGCTGCTGCCTTCCCCTATATTTGTAGGCACCAAATCCTGGATATTGTCTCTAAGCCTTTTTGATAGGGTTGGAATAGAAAGTCGTTTCTCGAGGAAAGGATTAACAAGTTGCATGTGCAACTCACGCATATATGTTTTTCTATTTAGCGGCTTTTCTTTGGTACTGAGCTTGTTTTCGCAGTATATTACGTAGCTGTTTACGAAAGCAATGTTAAGAATTCCATAAAAAAGGCACATAGGCCATCACCTAGTCTTTCGGCTACAGCTCATATTTGAACACATTTGGTCTAGAGTGTCAACACCACCTTTCGTCTGATTATAAAATTCTACCATACTTGGCTTCTTTGTTCGTTCATTTACAGATCCTTCTTCAGAACACGATGTTAATAAATGAATCACTTTGTTAGGTTTGGGCTTGTATGACAATAGTGTTAAAGGACCATCATAACAAAAAATTGAAGTACCAGTAGCTCTTGTTCTTGAGTTTTGCAATTCATTGGGTATCTCTCTTTTATTCGAACGCAAAGTACCCACTAAAGTTAGTTGGTATGGTTGAGAAAGAAGAGATTTAGCGAGCGAAATAGACGTGAACCAATTATCTGAATAGTTTCTATTTGAACCATGTAAAGGTTGGGTTAACTGTTTCACAAAATATTCACCAAGAGGCAGTCCTCCGGTTTCGGTAGCTTTTCCTAAATAGGGGGTTGCATTTACCATGTATTTGGTGCCGGCATCACAAATCATTACAATTTTTATACCGTACTTCGCCGGTTTGTTGGGTATGTACATGCGGAAAGGGCATCGCCCTCTAAAAGCTAGTAATTGTTCGTCAATAGTTACATACATTCCAACATTATAATTTATTTTACATTTCTCGATAAACAGATTCCATACTTTTTGAATAGGTACAAATCTGTCCCTATTTTGGGTAGATAATCTTAGAGACTTATTATCGAATCTAAGACATCGTATCAAGAATTCAAACCTATCTTTACTCATCGTGGTAACATATCTTGAACCAGAAAAAGATGCATCAAACAGCTCATCGGTTGACAAATGATTGTCTTTGAAAGCAGTGGTTAAAACAAGAAGTCCAATTAATGCCCTAATTTCACATTTATCGGTTGTTTTCTGGGTGTTTCTAATGACTGAATAATTTTGCTGTTTTACTATAATCTCAGGATTTGTCCATTGTACAACTTCATCTATAATTTCGTCAGTAATAAACATTTTAAAACATTGCAAAGGATCATTTTCACGGCGACATTGAGAAGTTGGACCTCGTGATATTCGTACAATATTAGAACTAAGAGTTCTCAATGATTGAGGCTTTTTCGTAGACCAAACATGCCTGTCTTTCCCACGCAAAAACATAAGCGGCAAGTAAATAATACATGTATCACGTGAAATGTCTGTGTTCTGGCTACTCGTAGATTCTTCGAGAGTAACAGGTGATTCTATTCTGGGTGAACTGGTAGATATTACCTCCATTGGCTCGTCGTCTTCATCAGTTTGTTCAGAATCCTCAACCTCCAAATAATCCTCAGTTTCACTCCCCTCAGTTTCTCCATCGCTATCACTAGTGACACCATCATAGTTCAGATATCTGGCCAATTCTGCGTCCGTGAAATTTCGACCACCGCTTGGACGTGACGAAGACATTTTTAATCTAAAAACAGATAAAAAAGTCAATAAAAACAGGCAATAACTCAAAACACCGCTGTATGCTAAACTTCAAAAAGTTACACAAAGACTAATCATGAGTCATTTCGACTCTGAAGTACGTCGTATTTACAAAATGGAGACACTTACCTGCACAACGCTATCGCTCCCAAAAACGTCTTACCGAAGACTGTGTTGACACAAAGAATCGTGACGATCCGCGCGTTCTTTAGAGAGAGATAGCAAGAAATATGTGCGGTGCGAATCAAAATGACTCAGATTAGTATTCTAGGGTTAACATGCACAAACTGTCATTTTCGAACAGAGGCCAATCGTTATTCTATGATCCGCCCTCTATAGGATAGATTGTTTTTAAAGATAGCAAATTCAATGTACAGATCGTTTATTGGCACGCTTTACCCATAAAATGGATTAAAATACCAATCTAAGATAGCAAAAATTGGATCAGGATTGATTATTAATTTCGGGCGTTAGATGACATTTCTTTTTTTTTTGCAATCGAATTATTCAAAGTAAACTATTGTGATATATAGAGCAGGACTCTTTAATATCTATTCTGAAATCAGTGCTTGATACAAGCTCCCGCTTCAAAGACTCTATGTGTCGACTCTATATAGAGTCAAAGAGTAAAACGTAAATAGTGATAGATAGAGCCGAACCTGCTGATGCTTATACTGGAAACCGCAGCTCAATAGGAGCTTCCGTTCCTGAGTTATGATTGATAAATAAAATGCGTCGAGTACAGGCATTTATTTAGACTGACGACGGAAATACAATGCGCGCTTACCGGCTAAAACTCCCCACTACATTTTATAATATGCAACACCTCCACCCTTATTTTGTACTATACATAATGACTAAGAATGTAAGTTATACTTAAACATAATTATTTTATATTGTTACAAATTTTCTACCTAAGAAAATAACATCAATGAACCTACTACTCAAATAAATATTACATACAATTTCTCTCTTTCAATTTTTTAATTATTACTTGTTACAATCATCTATAACATATCGTCTGACTGATTTACATACACGGCGAACACCACGCGATTCATTAGTGACATTGTTGTTCGAGCCATGATTATCCATTTCCTGCACATTGGGCACGTTAGACGTTGGCAAAGTTGCCGTTAATACAGTATCAGTGTCGTCGGTTGGTTTTGGCGATGGGCCCTCTGGTACGGCCGCGCTTGGCCTATTAACTGGCTCGTCGGACTGTTTGTCGTTGTTTACTGAAAACATTAGCGAAGGGTGGAATCGTTTTACAGGTGATTCACGTATTGTGTGACTGTTACGATTGTTATTATTATTACATGTTAAGTTTACTATTTTGGTTACATCGTTTGACACTTTTCGCTTTAGTTGGTCGATATGTTTGTGTTCCCCGGTTCCAGTGATAGATCTGACTTTGTAATCCGTACTACCTGTCCTCTCTATTATTGTCCCTGCCGTCCACTTATCAACGCCGCGATAGTCTCTAAACCAGTCCTTCTCATCTGCCGCAAATTGTCTAATCGCTCCCTCAGCTGATGTTTCTGCTCGCTTCTGCCAAGCTTTTACTAATTCTTTCTGATCAGGTTTCAAACAATCTAAACGCATGCGTAAATTACGCCCTATGCACATTTTTGCAGGACTTTCACCGGTTGTGTAGTGTGGTGTATTTCTATAAGCTAATAGGAATCTACATAAAGACGTGTGTATCTCTGTTCTGCACTTAATTGCATTTTTAATATTACGTTTACACATTTTAACGGCATTTTCCGCCGCCCCATTCGAAGCCGGGTGATATGGGGCTGAAAAAATTTGTTCAATTCCATTGGAACTTAAAAATTGTCTGAACTCGTTACTGAAAATCGGAGGACCGTTATCACTAACCACTTGTTGCGGTAAACCGAATCTCGCCCACATTTCTCGCAACTGTTATAATCCGCGCACAGCCGTATTCCGCCGTCCGCGTTCCTCGCTATAATCAACGGCGTGGCCCAGTCCGAGCGATCCACCGGCTCGATGACGCCTGCACGCAGCATCGCGTCCAACTCTGCATCCACCCGCGGGAGTAGCGCGTACGGCACGGGCCGCGCGCGGCAATAAATCGGCTGTGTTCCCTCGCGCACGTGCAGCTTGACCTCTTCAGCAGTATACTTGCCCAATGTGCCATCAAATAGATTCTCATACCTGGAGATAATATCATTAAGCGAGTTATTTTTACATGTTACCATATTATGTATTTCTGTACACTTACTTAGCTTAGGTATTTCTATACGCAATTCAGACAGCCACCTCTCTAATAAACTAGTGCTACCCTTATTTATTACATATAAATCTAACTGTTTTACATTACTATTATACTCAACATTTGTCTCCAAGTACTCTATCGGATAAATAGCTGAACCATCGTAAAATTTTAATTTTAATTTACACATTTTTAAAGGTAACTCCTTAAATAATTTAATGTATGTTGAATAACTTATACAAGATAATGCCGACCCTGTATCGACTTCCATTTTTAAGGGTTTATTATTTATAATTATGTTCATACATACCGGTCTATACTTTGCTAAAGACATCTGATACATCGGTTCCTCGCCATCATCAGACGCGTTTCGATCATCCTCAGAGACGTCACCTGTCATCGGCCCGCTCAACCAGTGCGCCGCACCGGCCGCAGCGTGGATGCCCGCGCTAGCGCTCCCTCGAGCAGACATCCGCATACTGCATGCCACCGCCGGCCCCGCCCCGTGGCGCTGCTTCCGCCGTCCGCGCTGTGGCCGAGCGCGCGACCTCTGCGTGACCTTCCTCGCGCACCGTTTGAATTTGAATTACCCGATGTCATACGACGATCGAATTCCTTCTTCATGCATACTCTTCGCAAATGGCCTTTTTTCCCACAGTAACTGCATTCAAAATTTTTATACCTGCAGTTTTGTGAGCTATGTTCGTCGCCACCGCACGCTGAACAATTTCTGTTTCCTAACTTATGTATCTTCTCGCTAAGTTCCCGGTCCGGATCTTGTTCCCGCAAGCCCTCCACAGCTCCCGCATCCCGCTCGGCTGCCTCTAGGGTATTAGCTAACTGTAGCGCTTTTTTATAATCAAGATCATTTTCTGCAAATGACCTCTGTCGAATAAAATCACTCCGCAGACCGCACACAAACTGATCTCGTAGGTTTTCCTCTAAGTTAGTTTTAAACTCGCAATATCTAGCCATCTTTTTCAAGTCCGCCACGTAGTTCGCTATCGATTCGCCTGCTACTTGCCGTCTTTGACGAAATCTGTACCGTTCTGCCAGGATTGATGGTGTCGGTTGCAGATGTGCACGCAGTAGATCCACCGCGACCGTATGCGATAGGCTTGACGGTTTCTTAGGACTCGCCAACGTAGACAACAATTCGTATGTTTCTTCACCGATGAGCGCGATTAAAGTTGGTAACTTTAAATCGTCCGTTATTTTGTTAACCACAAAATACATTTCTAACCGATCCACATATGCTAACCAGTTGCCGGTTTTCACATCAAAGTTCTTGATTTTGCCTACAGACATTGTTGCGACTATTGTCTATGACACGATCAAACAAAATTGTTCCACACCGAACCAAGTTTTATCCCCGTCGCCACTGATAAATAAAAGGAGTGCGTCAAGTACAGGCATTTATTTAGACTGACGACGGAAATACAATGCGCGCTTACCGGCTAAAACTCCCCACTACATTTTATAATATGCAACAATGACAAATATAAAATAGCCAAGATGGCGGGACAAGATGGCCACCTTAATTTGAATTCTGTATATCTAGCGTTGTTTAGCAGTCAAACTATCCGAGTTTGGGCTCTATCTGTTCAGCTCGTCTTCCGCTATCTAATGGTGTGCACTGCTAAGTGTGTAACTTTTATGTTCCTTTTTTCAGCTCTAGCATATGTTCTGTGTTGCAATTAGCCGTCTATTGAAAACCGTCCAGTTCTACGACAAATAGTTACCGAGTAATACCTGATTAAATATTTCGAGGGTTTTTCAATATGGTTTTTGCCTTGTAGAATCTTATAGAGCCAACCGATTCTTATGTACGATACGTCTTATGAAAAGTAATAACTGGGGCTATAAAATTGCATTACCGAGTAATACCTGATTAAATATTTCGAGGGTTTTTCAATATGGTTTTTGCCTTGTAGAATCTTATAGAGCCAACCGATTCTTATGTACGATACGTCTTATGAAAAGTAATAACTGGGGCTATAAAATTGCAGTTTCAAATTTAGCCGCATTCTTCGATTTCTCGAAACACGTGGTCACATGGTTTCGAGAAAAACGTTTATAACATGTGATTTTTAAGTCCAAAAATCTGGAATTTTGTGCAAAGCAAAATCAAACTAAGAGTTATTCCCTATTGTAACAAAAAAAAATTTATCGCTTTAGTTTTTTAGAAAATTAATTTTGAAAATTTGTTTTTATTAAATAATTCAGTTTTTCACTTGTAGAAACTTATATAGCTAACCTATTCCTATGTGTGATACGTCTTATGAGAAGTAATAACTGGGGCTATAAAACTGCAATTTCAAATTTAGCCGCACTCTTCGATTTCTCGAAACACGAGACCACGTGGTTTCGAGAAAAATCGTTATAACTTCTGATTTCTAAGTTAGAAATATCTAGAATTTTGTATGAAGTTAGGAGAAAGTAAAGATTGTCAATACCTTAATTATAAAATATATAATCGATTTACTTTTTGATAAAATAAATTTTGAAAATTAGTTTTTTTTTTTTAAATAGTTAGGTTTTTCACCTGTAATAACTTATAGAGTACACCAATTCTTATATGCGATACGTCTTATAAAAAGTAATAACTGGGGCTACAAAACTACAATTTCAAATTTACCCGCACTTCTCGAATTTGCGAAACACGTGGCCACGTGGTTTCGAGAAAAACTGTTATAAATTTTAATTTCTTAGTCGGAAAAATCTAAACTAAACGGAAAAA